TGTGTGTGTGTGTGTGCTTGTTTCTGTGTGTGTCTGTGTGTGTGTGTCCAGCTGCTCGGAGGGCCCGGTGCACCACACGGTGGCGGAGGTGGTGAGGTTTGTGGAGGAGCGGATAAAGGAGCAGGAGGGGAAGGAGGCGCGCTCCCTCCGGGGGCCGTTCCTCGCCCGGCTGGAGCTGATCCACAGACTGAGGGAGAGAGGCTGTCCGGAGGAGAGCCAGCTGGGTAAAGCACACACTCTGAACCGGGCCGGTCCCGGATATCCAACTCCCCCACATCCAAGTCGGCCATTTTGATTAGGTCACCAATAGGAATAGGAAGATCACAGGCAAGAAAATCCTAATGGCTTCATGGCAATATAGACATTAATTTAAAAATAGTGAAATGAATCTAGCAAACACGGAATTAAACTCAATACATAATATTATGTTAAAATAGTGGATGTTAAATAGGTTTGGACAATAAGTCCAAACAAGTTTAACCAAAAAATATTTATTTCTCACAATTATGAAGGGTGGAGGGTTAGGGTTAGGATCAGGGTCAGGGTTAGAACATTGTTCGTCTTCTGATTTCGTATAGACCGTAAAGTTTTGTTTCCACCTCAGAAAGCTGCTAGTCACATGACCTAATCATAATGGCCGACTTGGATGTGGGAGGAGTTGGATATCCAACCAAGGCTCCTACAGACTGGAGCCAGAAGCTGCTAAAAAATACGTATCGGCCAGCAGGAGAAAATGCCGATCTAGACTCCCGTACCAGTTTTTTTTATTTTTTTTTATTCCGATCCGTGTTTAGCGTGCCATTAAGATAATCCATTCCACTTTGCTGTGTTGTTCCCTGATATCCCAGCTGGTCATTTTCCAGCACATCCTTAAGCATTAGTATCTGTAACCCACAGGTCTATGTCCTAACCATTAAGTTGTTATTAGAGTAAATCCCTGTTCAATCAATCAATCAATCAATGTTTATTTATATAGCACTTTACAACAACCGGAGCTGACCAAAGTGCTTTACAGTAATAAAACAACATGAGTCTGAATACTAAGTAAGTAGATAAATAACTTTAAACTTTAGTACAAGCTCTGATCGGCCGGTATCGGATCAGAAGTTCAAATAAAATATCGTACAAAAAGCTGGATCGGGACGTCCCTCCTCTTCCTCTGTGACCTCCGGCCGCTCGGCTCCCGACAGGCCAGCCTCTGGAGCTGATGGTGGAGTTCTTTGGGAAGTTCGGGGACAAACCGTGTTGCATCACCGACCTGAAGATCTACCTTCACCTGCTCCCCGCCGACCAGCACGTTCAGGTGAGCCCAACCGATCCGCCCTCTTACTACTACGTCTTGTTATATCTATGATTTCTTATTTGAGCGATTCAAAATGTTCAATGGTGTATAACAGGGGTGCTCAATACGTCGATCTCCAGGGTACTATCGGTAGGTCGCATGCCAAGGTGAGGTGACATTGTCATGAACTGACGCTATGCGAATAAGGTTGAGTTGTTTTGAATAAAAACTAGACGTCAGCCTATCAGCCATCCCGTCACTGGATTGATACACAGGACAACCAGTCAGATGACATCTGATTTTTCCCCGTACATTTAGGTCACTGTACGTGCTCAAACAACGCCCCTGAGCAAAGCTAAGCTAACAAGCTAGTCGTTAGTTGCATCCTAATTTTTCGCTTGTTTTTTTCCTCTTAAACGTAAGATACTTAGTTAGTTTATGATTGATTTTATTATGTTGTCCTGGGTTCTTATATGTCTCACTGTACTGCTACATCAACATAAGTTGTAAGAATCCTCAATATATTTCTCAATAAATATAATGGGTAGATCATTTTGACTTGGTCATTTCAAAAGTAGCTCCCATGCTGAAAAAGTGTGAGCACCCCTGGTTTACATACAGTGGGGAAAATAAGTATTTGACCCCTTGCTGATTTTGCAGGTTTGCCCACTTACAAAGAATGCAACGATCTATAACTTTAATCATATGTACATTCTAACAGTGAAAGACAGAATCCCAAAGAAAATTCCAGAAAATCACATCATATGAATTTATAAAAATTGATAACCATCTGATGAGGAAAAATAAGCATTCTTTGTAAGTGGGCAAACCTGCAAAATCGGCAAGGGCTCAAATACTTATTTCCGCCCACTGTAAACACATAAACACTCAGAACCTGTCTCCTCCTCTTTCCCCCTTCAGTTCATCAACCGTCTGAGCGAGGCCGTGCCCCTTTCGGAGGCGGGGGAGGAGGGCTTCTGTTTCCCGGAGGACACCCGCGGGCTGCAGAGGCACCTGTGCGTGTGCCAGCTGGGCCGGGCCCTCGGCCTGCAGCACGCGCTGGACGTCGCCGGGAAGCTGCGGCTCATCGCCGAGCTCAAGGCCCACTACCGGCACGGGCTCAGGTTTGGTAAGAGCTCTAAGTCACTGAGCATAAGGAGGCCGTTTTCTGCCTTTTTTTCCAGGTTTAAAATCCCTTCTCCACTCTGGAATACCCCCCAATAAGCCCCTCAATAGCCCCCAATAAGCCCAAGAAGTCTTTCTCTGTCTTTAACATTCTTTTTCTTTTGAATTTGGCCCGTTTCAGAGGTTTATAAAAAAAAAATAATTCTCCTCTAACTGCTGAAAACCAGCTGGACGCTTCCTGCTCTGTTTTAACTCTGACAGAAACCATCAATATCTGAGTCTCTGATCCAAACTAGAGTCCAAAGAAAATCTGATTTTCTGTTTTTTCTCTAAAATCAGCTTTATAAAACAGATGTTCAGCTCCAGTTTAAAGCTTTAAGCTCCTGTTGTACACATTCAGATACAGTGATCCCTCCCCACTTCGCGGTTCACTAATCGCGGATTCGCTATTTCGCGGATTTTCACAATGCATTTTTTTTTTTTTTTGGTGCATTGTGCTCTGCATTCTGATTCGCTAAAAACTCACTCCCGCTTCCTGTATCAAAACATGCTACGAATTGTGCTATCATTTTGTCGTCTCGTGCAGTTATGTGTACGTACATAAAACAGCTTAGCAAATTTACATTAAGTTGACCAAATTATCTTGTAATTTCGAACATCTCCTAAACCCATATTGTCGACGAAACGGCCTGGACCGACACTACACGTGAGTCACTGTATTTGTATACATGTAATAGTTGCTAATTGTAAAAAAAAAAAAAGTTTTCTATTTCGCGGATTTCACTTATCGCGGGTCATTTTCGGAACGTAACCCCCGCGATAAACGAGGGATTACTGTATACCTGATAACAGCCAGTAGAAGACTGCACCAAAATATATTTTTGACTTATTCCACGCTAATTTGATCAAAATAATTTCTGTTTTTTTTTCTTCATATGTTGTTGAGGGGCCAAAGAAAGACTTCAGACTAAAAAAATCCAATATTCTTCCTATTTTTCTTGGATCTGGCTTTAAAGGGTTAAGGGTTTGTTGTGTTTATTTGGGATATTTTTAGGAGGTATTTTAATGGATTTGTGTGGTTAAATGTTGTCTGAAGTGTCCAAACTCCTTATTTTAAGGATTAGTTGTGTTTATTTGGGTTATTTTTACTGACGGGAGCCTGTTCTTTGGTGTGTGTTAACAGGGAAGAACGCCCTGAAGACGGAGCTACAGTTCTCGGACATGTACTGCCTCATGGCTGCTCATGTCTTCATCGACCTGTGGGCCGACACGGGTTCGTTCCTCTGCCTTTATCCGTGTGTGTGTGTGTGTGTACCTGTGTGTGTGTGTGTGTGTGTGTGTGGACCTGTGTGTGTGTGTGTGGACCTGTGTGTGGACCTGTGTGTGGACCTGTGTGTGTACCTGTGTGTGTACCTGTGTGTGTGTGTGTGTGTGTGTCCTTGTTGCCGCATCAGAGTGAGAACCATAAGTAGTTTTTAACCAACAAAGTGAGGTCTTTTTTTTTAAAGTGAGGACATTTTCCTGGTCCTCACTTTATTGTGTGTGTGTGTGTGTGTGTGTGTGTGTGTGT